GGGGGCAGGTCTGGTATTAAATTTTAAATTGCAACGAACTGGAGCAAAAGCTGCCATCTGCTTCAGTGCCACTATAACACACTGCAGCCTTGTGGTACTTAAATAGAATATATCCAAATGCTGAGAAATATCGCCCATGGGGTGGAGGAACAACAAGAACTATGTAAAGGATGCATTTTTCCTCCCACGTGAAGCCTCAGTAGAGCACTTGATTAAATTACTCAAGTAGAGATGTCCTGAGCTTCGCAGAACATACGGAGCTGCCTGTCATTGCGTTAGACCACTGGCCCATCTGGCCCTATTTGGCTGACTTGCTTCCCGCTGGGCGGCTTCTGACACTAGCCAGGCGTTGCCCTTCTGCTGTAGACTGTAAGTGGAATTCCATGTGCCTTTCTGAATGTGGACACTGTGCTTCAGCTATATGTATATCCCACTAGGGTCTGTTACCCCAGTGGGCATCATGTAGCAGCCATAGCTTGGGACCTCCTTACGGTCAACACATATTTATTACAAGCTTTACAATGGCTGTTATTTTATGATTCCATGTTTATTTCTCTAACTGATATTTTAACTATTGCTGAAACATATTTATGTTCGGCAAATTTTTTTCCAGCTAAAATATTTCTTCCAAGTTAAAGGCATGCTATATTGCTATAATGCTACAATGTTACGTCTTTTTATTCTGGTGTTTATAGAGCTACAATAGAAAAATACTACACACAAGGCATGTGTGTTTGCCTCTGTGTTTTAAAGCTGATATCGTAGCATTAATGCATTATTGCATTATACTGAACATTTTTTTTAAAGAATCTTGCTGGAAAAAGATTTAGCAACAATATTTTTTAAATGCATAAACCGCATTATCCCATTTATTTATTGCATTTGTTTATTTGCTTTTTACCCACTTTACAAGCTTTAATGTATGTGTGCTGAGTCATGATAAACTTCCTTTTCCCATTACATTACTGCCTATATCAAAACTTTGCCCTTTAAAAAAGATGAACGGGCAGGACTATAGCACCAACACCTGCTTGTGGGGATGGTGCTCCTCCTTTTTTATTTTTCAAAAAGTCTGACTCTCTGCAACCTGAGAGTAGAGTGACTACTTGAGACTCATCAGAAAAGAGAAACTGTATCACAAAAAGCTGATCAAGGGATGGAGATTTAGCGGATCAAGGGATGGAAATTTGCATAAAATGTACATGTTCTAACATATGCAGATTTTGAAATAATAATTACACTCAAAGAATAGTGGAGTTGGAAGGGCCAAGAGGGCCATCGGGTCAAATGCCCTGCTCAGTTCAGGATTCCAGGTTTATAATTTCACTGGAAACAGTTGATCTACCATAGTGTGGAGGTCCATGACCTTGTGCGCCTGCCTGTTCAGTTCGCTGTTATGGTGGCAACATGGACAACAGTTCTTATGGTTCTTATCCTGAAACCAGAATTGGACAGGAAAGCTTTTAAACAAAGGATTCATTCAGACAGAGGACTGTGCTCTGTAAAATTGTTATATTGTTATTGTTTATGTAGGTTTTTTATTTTTTGTGAGCCGCCCCGAGGCTTTGTTGCGATGGGGGCGGCATAGAAATGTTTTAAATAAAAATAAATAAAATAAATAAATAAAAGGAAATGCATGGCCACCCTAAAGTGAATGTTCATAAGAGATGTGCTTGGTGAATTACATCCATTGCCTTTTTCATCTTCTATTAACATACAACCTAATGACACTAGCTCCTGTGATAGGCTACAGGAGGTAGCGGATCTTATAGGGTGCTGGAGTGTCCAAATATTGCTAAAGAAATTATTGACTTGGAGGGATATAAGATATATCCTTTTATTTTAGCCCTTTAAAATGTCATTTTTAATATTTTAAATGCACTTGTTTTTATGGTTGCAAGCCTTTATTGATTAAAAGTATTTTTAAAAAGCTTGATGGCTTTTCTGCAAGTAAAATGGTATGTAGATGATAAAACAGTAAAAAATAAAGCTTTGGATAGTTAGAAGCTAAAGTTCTATTCCCACTGAAGCCAATGGCTGATGTTTTTTGATCTGTGTTCTCTGCCAGTTCTCCGAACACAAGCATGGGATTTTAACTCTCACTCTTCTGGAAGAGAGTGATTGACTAAGATACTAAATTACAAATGAGGGAATTTATTTCATTTCTTGAAGGAGATTTGATGTGTGCTAACATCCACATCTTAAGAAGATGCTTTCAGCAAAGGTCAAAGTTTTCCCATTCAAACTAGAACAGAAGACCTAGTTGTGGAACAAGAATATCTACACAAAAAGAATATGAGGGCATGGACACAAAGTAATGAGCATTCCAATGGATTTATTTCCATATGCATCAAATTAGGCTTGGGAAAAGAAATTAGTTCCATCAAGGCCACATCTAAATGCTCTGATTAAGAGCCTTTCTGTTATGTAACCCCAGCAGGAATCCCCCACATATACACACCATAATTGGGACAACTGTGTAGCTCACTCTCCCTGCCATCTCCACATGGTTAAAGTACTTGCTTCCATATCCATATTTTTACAGTTTATGTCCTAAAATCCAGTAAACTGTGGAAGTAAACATTCTAATAAACATTCTCCTGCTGTTAATTAGTTTGTAAGAGCACATTGCAAAAGAAAGGTAGGCGTATGGACATGTTTTCATATTAGTAAAAGAACCTGCACAATGGTGTGTATATAGTTATCAGAACACTTAATTAACAGATGCTCTTACATGCTTTCACCAATTAAGGTATGCCATCCTAGGCACGCTTGGATAGAAAAAGGCATACATTTTCCAGTATTTCCCAACCAGCAAGGAAGACTTTCTTTCTTTCTTTCTTTCTTTCTTTCTTTCTTTCTTTCTTTCTTCCCTCCCTCCCTCCCTCCCTCCCTCCCTCCCTCCCTTCCTTCCTTCCTTCCTTCCTTCCTTCCTTCTTGGTTCAAATATGCCTCAAAATCTACTGTTCAGTGGGTATTAACACAAGTCCCTTGACAAAGTGCTCCAATATAAATGCCACTGCACCATCATCAACCTTTCTAGAAATTGCATGCTTGGGTAGGAGTCAAATTCCACATGCCCCTTCTTGATCATGCCCACTTCATGGCAGAACACTTTGGACAAATTCTTAAATCTTGGCTGTTGGACCTCTTTTAGCCCAAGAGCTGAATTCAAGAAGCTCTTGGGCATTGCATGCCATTTCTGGGTGGGTCTGAGGGCAAAGTGGGTGGAAGCCAAATACCAAGAACACTCCATAAGCAGACTATTTTAGTTTATAGTTTGTTCTGCCAGTAGCTATGCCTTAGGAGAGGCATATCGATTTTTTAGAATGAGGAGTTGGGAATGTGGGTCTGAGAATCGACACCCTTGTTTTAAATAGGGGGTCCCTTGAATACAGAACTATTAACACTTAGGGTGAAAATGCTGTAACCTACCCTGAACCCACAGGGAAAAACTGAACATAAATCAAACCAATCATTTTAAGAGTTGATGTTTTAAGATATGTCAGCTTTAACAAATCAATAATATCTGCCTCAAAACTGGAATCAATTCTAAAATCTCAGGATATATTAAGATCTAAAAATCTGAACATTATCAACATTACGGTATGAATGACGAGCACTTGAACCTGGTGAAAATAGCAAATTACATCGAACTTCATTTTGGGTCTGCCTGAGGATTTGGAAAAGCAGATTCTTTTACTGAAATTGCTTAAAGAGCATGCTTTTCTTGCTCGTATTGCTATGTTGTGTATGCAGCATGGAGTCTGCAGGCACCAGCAACCTCTAAACAGCTTCCTTGTCACTTGCCAAGATGCCTGACTCTCTGATTTTTTAAAAAAATGACATATTGTCTTATTGGCAGCAGGAATTGCGGTTTCTTGGTGCTGAGAACTGTAGGTTAAAAGGAGGTGCTGAATGTGTTGAGTGTCAGTTCCCACCTCTGTTTTGTACCTTATCCTTTGGGCAGGGAACATGTGCCTGGTCTGCCTTTCATTGCAGCCACTCTGTGGTGGTGCTCAACTTGCTGAAAGTGCCCACAACCCCAAAAGTTGCCCAGGCTATGCTGCATTATTTTAGATTCAGGCTTTAGGTTTGGATAATCTGCATATGAGACTTTTCTTCAGCACACTCAGATGCATATGTGATCAAAGTCAGAAACTGAATGTTATGACTTAGTTCTGTATAACTTTTGGGAAACTGCCCTGCCATGTTTAGTCTGAAGCAAATCCCAGTGTGAATGATGGGTGTGATTCTTCCAGGAAAGTGCATGTGGGATTAAAGCCTGAACTAAGCTTTAAAGTCCATCTTCAACGTACACTTCCCTGTACCCATCCCAGAGGGTCTCCTATCCTCCTTCAGAAGTTGCCCCCAGTATGTGAGGGGACCAATTGGTCAGTGCGGAAGGGCCTTTTCAGTGTACTTCCCAGCTGCAGAATTCCCTTCCAGAGTCGTCTGTTGTTGTTGTTGTTTTTTCTTTTTTAACAATTCCATTTTCTGTTTAATTTCCCTTTTCAGATCATCTTCTTTATTTGTTTACCATAATGTTCTATTTCCTTTTTAAAGTGTATTTTGTTTTGCTTATTTTCTGTTTTACTCTTTCAGTTTTATGTTTATTGTTTCTGGTGTGTTTTTAAATCTTTACCCAGCTACTCTCTTTTACTCTAGTTGTTATTTGTTGTTGCTGTACTCTGGTTTACTCTGTTTTAAACTCTCAACTGTTTTATGTTATATTTTATCATATTGTATTTTAGGTATTTCATTTTTGGGAACAGCCCAAAATTTCTTTGGATCTGTTACTGGTCAATACAGGAATGCAATGAATGAAACAGAAATAAATAACTACTTATGATTTAACAGTTTGGCTTTGGGTTCAGCAGACTCAGTTTGGGTGTCTCTACAGGCAAAGGATATTAATTATAGCTTGTTATAGGAAATTACATATCATTTGCTTTGCTGTATGACACAAAACTCTTGCTTCATTCTTTATCTCACTATAGGTTTGAGTTTTGCTCTCATCCAGGAAGAACTTACATCTTGAAATCTGGGAGCACTACCGGAAACAGAATCCAAAGCATTGCACAAAGAACAGCAGTAATAGAGGGAAAGAATAAGGTACGGTTATTTGAATTTAAAAGGTGTTCAGCTTTGAGATTTTCCTATGAGCTGCTCCTAATGCTAAATGACCATTGGTCAGGGTGTGAAACTTAAAACTACTGCCAAAGATTGAATCTGTTAACTGTACACAACCCTATGAAAACAATTTCATCTCATAAGCTTCACAATGGAGCAGAGATTTGGATTTGGGCCTGACCCATCCAGAATCAAGCCCCACAGTATTTCTGAAGCAGCATTACAATCACAGTATGCATGTATGCAAGTTCTAAGTTCTGCAGAAATTGGCAATGCTTTCTGTACAGGTAATTGCTAGCAGATTGGTCTCATATGATAGTGAGTCTTCACTGACTCACTGTCATTAAAAGTCTGTCTCACTGAAGACTGAGAGGCTGTTCAAATAAACACTAGATGCCTCTCTGGATGCTTAAATTCTAGTGTTGATACTATCTGGGAATGGACAGCACAAAATGTCATGCATCAAACAGGTCACCAGGATCCCAGTGTCTCTGCAAGCCTGGCCAAACAACATTGAATGCCATCCCACACCAGTTCATTCCATTGTATAACATCCTGGTTTTCTGAAAGCATGTTGTACATATCTGGCTTTTAAGTGAATTTGTGCAAGGATGTGAAGCTAGTTTGTTGGACTTCATCCCATATCTGGTTTTGATGGTCACACGTTAAAAAAAATTATATTAAAAAATTGGAAAGGCTTCAAACAAGAGCCCATGAGGATGTTCAAAGTCTTGATAAGATTATTGCACAAAAGAGAAGGTTGGGAATTTGATTTAAACACAGTCTGAAATTTCCTGCAGGGTTAGGAAAATACTTCAGAGTTTCATTCAGAGACACAGAGTACAAGTAGACCTATTTGGGAGCTGGGAGCGGGGATTGTCCCTCTTCTAGTTTACTCAGACTCCTGAGAACTGGAAGTGCAACTCATCTGCAGTTCCTTTTGTTGTGCTTCCTGATAGTGTATGATGTTGCCGTGTATGTATTTAGAGAGAAAGAAAATGACAAATTATAGAAGGTGTTGCACATTCAGCCTGTTCTTAACCTGGCTGAGTCAAGTACATTTTAGAACAAAGGGATGGGGGGGGGGGTCAACATTTTACCCCATTACCCATTCCTTAATTAATTCATTCCAGACTCAGCATCATGTCTACCCATTCAAATCTGGCCCGAAACTCTGGCAGAGGCTAAAGGATCTTCCAGGGAAAGGGGACTTAGCACTCAGAATGCATTGTGCTGCTGTTTGATAGGGCAAGGGATCATTTTTTACTGGGACATATAACTATGTATGTATGTTCCAGTCAAAAAGCACCCATTGCCCTGTCAAAACCCCCCTTTAAATGGGACCCAAAGTTTTGACACATAAGTGGTTACCCTTTTTGCGCTTTCCTAAGCAGCTTGAGTCTCTGGACAAAAGGCAAAATGTACCTTAGCTTGAGCACCATCAGAACAGAAAAAAAGATAAAGATCTTACCATGAAGGGGATACACATTTTCCCACCTGTTTTCTGCAGATAGAGATCACTAGAACTGGAACCCTGTTTTTCCTGGACTGCTTGCATTTGACAGCTGCCTGTTTGGGCCTTCTTGGGTTGTGTTGCAGGGTTTGTCCCTGCTGCATTCTGACCGCTGGTACCCCTCACACCCTGCCACTGACATTGCCCCACCAAGGATCCCAGTTTCCACACTTGTGGAAATCATTGTTTGCCAGCCACGGGTAGCACCCCCACAGTGCCAGTTGGGCATTTGAAGGGACTGCCAGAAGCTATCCAAACAAGTATTATAAAAGCCTGGGCTTGTGAGCTCCCCCAAAAGGCAAACGCCTCACCATTGGTTTTATTGGCTACAATTGATTGAAGATGTAGGCTGAAACCTCAGCAGGGTTACAGGTTGACCACTCCTATCTAGAATATTTTAGGGATGAATATTTATCAAAAGTTGGAATCCGTCTAAAGCATATAAAATAATAAAACAATCACTTCAAGTGCTATTACTCCCTGTCAGCAGAGCAAGGGATTCTGAGTGCCAAGAAGGTTGGCCATATTGTGCTTCCGAAGGTGTGCTGGATTATATTAAGTCACTACCATTCGACTACTGTTCCATGGAAGAAAGTACATCACTGCACTGTGGCACAGCCTTTAAGAGGGCTAAATGTGCCTGCGCCTGCCCATAAAACAAATGGCTGCAGTTTCAGGCTAAGTGCAGCTTCCTGGCCACTTAGGTTTTGGGGTGAGATCCATTGACTTTTGTGGAATAAGGAACCCATCACATATTTGGGGCTCTGGAAACATAATCCTTGGATGCTTATTCAGAAACGGTTTCCATGATATTCAATTGCACTTACCCCTAGCTGAGTGTTTATACTGTAGGCCTGTAAACTTAATGCTTCAAGATTGCGCAAGGCAAGGCAAGGCAAGGCAAGGCAAGGCAAGGCAAGGCAAGGCAGGGTGGGACAGAAACCACACCAGAAGTACAATGGGACTAACCACGGAAATCAAGGAACTTAATTCTGCATTAAGCATGAATGACAGAACAGAGTGTCATTGAAGTGAATGGCAAAACGTGTCTTGGATGCCCTAGCATCCCAGGGGTGGGCAACTTGTTTCCTTCCAGAAATTTGGGTCTACAGTTCCTATCAGTCCCAGGCAACATAGCCAGTGGTGCAGGCTGACGGGAATTGTAGGCCAAATAGGGATTGCCCCAAATGAGGAAATTCATGCCCCAAAAGCAGACACTACTTAGCAAGTGTTTTGATGAAAATTTAGAAATTTTGCTGTCAGGGGGATGGTGTGAGATGTAGTCCAACAAATATGGATGGTGCCAGCCCAGGGAAGGCTGGTTCTTTATCTTTGGACTGAATAACCTTCCATATTGAGGATGCCTTCAAAATGGAGGCTAATCCTCTTGAAGTTCTACAAATACCGCTCTCTATAAAATAGGACACATGGCCATCTTAAAACTTCTGAAGGGTCACAGTTTGCCAAGCCCTGCCCAACTGGGATCAAATATTTTTCTTTTTCTATTTGATAATGCTTAGACATACATTCTAGTAAACAGAAACAGTGTTCTGTACAATACAATAAGGATTCATTTCAAACTGGAAGGTCTAAGCCTGGGTGGGAAAACATACTAAGATAGTAATGAATAACTGCTTTCTAACACAAATGATTCCACTGAACATTTTTGCTTTTATGCTTTTGGAACTCCGTAAATTCCTTTGGTAGGCATGTGAGTGGCTTACCAAGCTGGGTATCTCTTTAGAATTGTTTTCCTTTGATCAGAGCCAACTTCATGAGTTTAGTTCAATCAATTATAAGACTAGCTGGAACATTTTCATACAAGACACTGCAAGGCACCTTTAAAACTGTTTGTGCCTTATGTTTGAAAGTTGTTAATGTGGGATAGAAAGGATATCAAATGTACCACCTTTCCAGTAGGACTGGTGTGGTTTGTATCTTACTGACTGTGTTGAGCAAAAGCTAATTTAATCCCCATTTGTAAAATCAGCCTTAGAAGTTCTGTGAAATCTCTGCAAGGAGCAAGTCAGAAGGTGATACTAATCTTATGAGCAAATGTCTATGCTCAGGTGTGTGCTTGTTTTTTTGTAGCAAGTGTCTCACTATATAGGAATTAGACTTGTGTAGGCAAGACTCTACTTTGTTTATACCACAACAGACCAGTGTGATTCTAGCATGCCAAGGTACCTTTTGTCTTTCTGCAACTATAGACTAGCATAGATCCTCTCCTACATGTTGGAAATGAAATTCTACCCAGACATGATTATTGACTCATTGCCTTATACCCATAACTGAAGCTGAGTTGTTTTTGAGATGGCAGAAGAGGAGTGGCTGAAATATCAGACCCTCATCTGTCTGTTGGCAGATAAATGCATACTGGAAATATGGGCTAATAATGGACTCTACAGTCAGAGTTCCAGGATGTATTTTAAAATGTTGGTGAGCTGTCATTACCAAAAATTAAATAAAATTAAAACAGCATGCCCAGAACAGCACACAAAAGGGTGATCTTTTGGGTGTGAAGTTGAGATCCTTATAACAAATAATAATAGTTGCTTCCTTGTTCATCTGTCTGTGGTTAATTGTAAAGGGGGAAATTTTGTTCTGTACGGGCTAAATTATATGTGTTGTAAGAGCTAAATTATATGCATGCAGTTGAATTTGACCATTTTGCTTACTTTAGCACAGAAGGCCCTGATTGTGGTTGTGTTGTGACACTTGCAATAAGTAGGGGAGATTTAAACCTTTAATCCAGCCACTTTCTTCACAAAGTTAGCTCACCACCACCATAGGAGCTTTTTAAAAAAGAAATATACCTATTATCAGAGCCATCCCCAACCTGGTACCCTCCAGACGTTTTGGTGCTAGCATGGCTAATGGTCAGACAGCCACACACTGGATATGGTTAGAAAAGATTCAGTGAGTCTATGTATCTAACACAGGTGTCATTCTTAAAATAATAATACTTATTATCTGAATGACCTATTTTGTATCCTTACAAATCCTTACATACTAAAGTTCCTTACTCATTATGAAATGAAAAGCAAGAACACATGTTCTTAAAATACAGTGTTTCCTATGAAATGAAAATTGTCCAAGATAAAACCTACCACCAACATTGTTTTTTTGCAACTGCATCTTGTACCTAAAAAGTAACATGCACAGAGGCAGGGGTGGGGAAGCTAAGAATGACCAACTGCTCCTGCTCTGCCTCTTTTTCACTCCGCAAAAGAGCTTGGTGCAGAGAGGAGCCACATTTTCCAGCATTATCTTTGCCAGCTCCTTTGGCTGACGGAGTGACCTCTGGGCAGGGCTGAGCTCCCTGTGCCATACTTCACGTATGGAAACTTGTCATCTGTCCATTGAAAGCATGCGATAAGTCAATCGTAAATCCTAACCTACATATGCAGAATGTCATGGCTCTGATCATGTCCAAGTCTCCTGGGAGCACTGCGTCCTGTTGTGTCTATTATTTGCATGGCTCTCCATGGCAGAACCTCCTAGCTGCTACTCAGCCCTTTATTGAATGAATGGAACAACTGACTCATACCCATGTCAGTATTCGGGAGGATCAAACAAAAGCGGTACGCTCAATTGTACAAGAACTAAAACTATTCTTCCTCCACAGACTGCAAGCATATTGGTTGTGGCTGAATCCAGGTCATCTGGAATCTACGGCTGCATTGCGTCCAATAAAGTAGGAAGTGACAAAAGAAGCATAAGTTATGTTGTCACAGGTGAGGTACCATTCATACAATGCCAAATTGTACTACTGCAAGATAGATTCAGTGTATACCTGCTCCTCTGTTGAGGGAATAGCTTTGGTGGATGCAAATAACAGAATTTTCAAAATGGTATTAGATGGACTGTTATAATGTGTTCAAAATATACTAGGCTGGGAACTCTCTGCTCATTACGAACAGCTGCCTCTCACCTCACTTGTAAAGCTGGGGCTGCATCTGTTGCTGCTCATGCATTAGTGGGACCTACCTCTAGCACAACAGAAAGCTTGTGGTTCCTGAAGCAACTAGAAGTGAACCGAAACAAGCCTCGCCAGAATGGGATAGGTCAATGGAGCGCCCAGAAAGTTCCACTGATCTGTCAAGTTCCCGAAAATAGCATTCCTGGAATTGCTTTAGGAAGCACTAGTTTCCTGTTGTATCAGCGGCTGGTCCCTTGAGCATAACAGAATTAACTGAAGCACAGCAGCAGTGTTGGATACTGCCGAGTCTTTCTTCAGCTCAGTCATTGGCCAAGTTTCTGTAATTCCAAAGAAAGTCTGTGAACATTGGATTATATCCAGTGCTACGCTAGCAGAAAAATGGCACAATATAGTGATTTTCCAATAGTAGTTGTGCAACCATTAGCAAAAGGACAACCCATGCAAGGAGCATAATGGAGTCATAATGAGTTCTGGAGCAGCTTGTGCAACTCCTTGTGGAACATATTGCAAAAACATTTAGTAGAATGCCTTGCACAATGGCTTACGGAGCAGCTTGCAAAAGTGAAATCAAAGAATTGGCTATGATGCTTGCACAAGGAGGGAAGAGAGGTTTACCAAAGTGGTAGGATGCCTTTCACTAGCAGGACACCATTAGACACAGCCCATTATATCTGGTTTATGCATGGCTGTTCTCTACACTGAAAGCTATAGGGCAAAAGAAATGAACCTACAGCTCACCCACCCCTTCCCCAAGAAACCAAAACTCTTCTGTGACCAAACTTACATGGTTTTCAAGATGGACTAATTAAGACATTTGGGTACTAGAAAAGCCATTATGTAAATTAAGTTGGTCCAATCAGCTAACTTTTTCTCCTTGTGGTCAACTGAAAAAAATAGATGTCCTGATTTCTCAGCTCTTGCTGAGGAACAAAAAAGAAAAGTACCTTTAAGTAATGCCAGCTCAAAATGCTGATGGCTGTGAACAAAAGGCTAGGAAACTAAAAAGGATTTCCTTTTGGTATATTCAAAATAGATCCTTCAGGGCTAGACTGATTGCTAGAGTCTGCTGGGTTTTCAGCAGCTTTCCCATTTGCTCTCAGTTGAAGTCTGGCGTAACCAAAGAATAGCAGGGACACTTTCCTATTCGGTAATGTAAAGGGGGCAGATAGAAAGAACTTAGGGATATGTGATCAGTTCCTGACCACTAGATAGGCCGGCCATCCTTCTCAAATACTGTCCTAGGTCAGCCCTCCAGATGTTTGATATTGCAATCTGCAGCATTCCTGACCATTAGATGGCTGGGATGGATGATAGAAATGGAAACATCTGAAGGGCACTAGGGTGGCAAAAATAGTGGTAGGCTTAATATAGCAAGGGAGATGATTTCCAGTAGACCAGATCTCCAGTAGATCACTTCGTAGGATGCCAAGGCAGTGGAAGTTCTGAATCAACCTATTTGCTGGGGGTTGCCCAAATATTAAACATTTTTGGAAGATGATCTGGAGTAATGTATCAGGAATGACATAGTACAAGTATTCCATGGTCTGGCAGTGCAGGGGAGCAGAGCTTCTTTCAGCTGGAGGGCAAAATTCCATTTCAGAGAAGCTTTGGGAGACCATTTTCCATTCGTGGGTGGGCTGAAGGCAAAAGGGTTGGGGCCAAAATATCATCATATATTAGCTTAATGCCTTTACTGCCAGTAACTAAACCTTGCAAGAATAATAGCAACCGTTCAGAATGAGAAAAATGCTGCACAAAAGCCAGGAAGCCAGTAAATCTGCATCTGAAGAAGTGTGTGGGACCCAGAGAAGACTTTGCCCTGTGGGGAAAGATCACAGGGCCACGGCTGGTCCCAAGCTTGAGGTTCTGTACCACTGAGGCAGTGGTTCCATTTTTCAGTATGAAATTGAGTGTTTTAGAGAAATTAAATGATATTGAGAACAAAAAGACTAAATGCCAGTTATTGATCAATGGAAACAGAAAGATCCATTGCAAATGAATGATGAAGCTCTGGGATTCAGTGTGTACATTAAAATCTACAAATATTTTTAGAAGAGAAAATAGGGAAAGAGCAAAGTTTTGAGGGGAATTGGTGTGTGTGTGTTACACACAGACACACACGATATATGCCCAAATAACTTTTTGGAAAATTTGTGATGTTTGGTAATTGAAGGACAATATTTGAAAAGGAAGAAGGCTTATCGCAAGATATAGTAGGACTGAAATTGTTTTGTTGTGCTTAATTTTTATATATCTCTTCAGTGAATGATACCTTAAAATTAAGTAGATGGTTTTTTGAGGACCCATTTGAGTTTTTTGAGTTAATTGCCTAGTAGGAGGCCAAGGGAAGATGGAGGTTCTCGTAACTGCTGTTTGTTTTCTGGAACTGCACAACTACCATTGGAAAATCACTATATTGTGCCATTTTTCTGCTAGCATAGCACTGGATATAATCCAATGTTCACAGACGTTCTTTGGAATTACAGAAACTTGGCCAATGACTGAGCTGAAGAAAGACTCGGCAGTATCCAACACTGCTGCTGTGCTTCAGTTAATTCTGTTTTGCTCAAGGGACCAACCGCTGATACAACAGGAAACTAGTGCTTCCTAAAGCAATTCCAGGAATGCTATTTTCGGGAACTTGACAGATCAGTGGAACTTTCTGGGCGCTCCATTGACCCATCCCATTCCGGCGAGGCTTGTTCCAGTTGAGTCTCCCCTCCATTCTATAGTTTTCTGACATACAGCACAATTCCATGCATGTTTACTCATAAAAAAATCCCACTGTATTCTATGGAACTTTCTTCAAAAATGTTTAGTATAGCAGTTTTCAGCTATTAAACCAGTGCTTTTCAGCCTTATCCTATCTGGACTTGGCTTTTCACAGACCTGCTTCACTGGGTCCAATTTTGATTTCTTTCCTTACTTTAGGGTGTTTAGGCTTACGGCTCTTGTGATTCCTCATCATTGGCTGTGCCGGCTAGGGCTGATGAGAGTTGTACAGGACTACAAGTTCCCACCCCGACTGACTTTTTTTTTAAAATAAACCCTCTGCTACTCTTCCCCACATGTGCCTTATTCAGTAGGATCCACCTGAGAACTGGGCATCCTACTAAAGTGCATCTCTGCTGACACTACTGTTTCACATGCAGCCAGTTAGGATGGCCAGGCGCCCTGCATTGCAGAGGTCATTCCTGTATTTTGGAGAACTGGCAGAGGACAGTTCTCAGTTTGACCTCAGTCTTATGGCATGTCCTAACTCTGGCTTAAAGTCAAAGAACCCTAAGGCAGAAGCCTTTGAAGTTGCTCACTGGGAGTTAGTACTGGACAGCAGACTGAGCAGGCGAAATGTGAGCTGCAGAATCATCTCCACTCTAATGAGATGCATTTTATTTCTATTTAAATTATGGTTACTATTTCTAAATTTGCACATATGTCAATGGTATGCAAATTGGAGTCCTCCTTTTGATGCTCCTAAGTGGCCATTCTATCAGCTCTCCTTCACAGAGTATCTGTTTTTCTGTGATGCGCTTGGAGAGAGGCCCAGTTCTGCTGGAGAGACTCTCCCATTGGGTCTGCTGGCATGGATGTGTCACTGCAATGCAGCCTTCATTTGCATGGGAGCAGAGCATGGCTTCCATATGCCTGGGTTGGTTCTGCGAGGCACCTGCATGTAACTATATTTGTCTGTATTTATATATGTTTTCCGTAGGCTACATTGGTTCATTAGGGGCCTCATGATGATCAAAGTCATCCCAGCCCCACCCCTGTTATCTCCGAATGACAAATTAATCCAGTCTGCCTTTTCCACACACCCCACCCCTTCAGCTAGAGCCTTCCCCTCTTTTGGGGGCTGCTGTACTGGCACACAGCAGGGCCATGGGTGTGTTTGCAATTATGGAGGGTGAGACAGGAACCGCACCGCCTTATCTCCTGGCTGACCAGTGTCACTAAAGGCATTTTATTTTGAGGTTCCTGATGGAGCTTGGCAAAGATAAACAAAACCTTCCATCAGGAAACCTGGGAGCTATTTCCACAGGAAGTTTCAAATCACTAAAGTAAATAAAACTTTTTTACATTATTCCAGACACTCATTATCCAGATTGTCTTAGGCTTTAGCAAATGCTGCATGGAGTTGAAAATCAAGGAGTCCTCATTTTTTAAACAAAGGACTTGATAGGATTTCTTTCCTTCCTTCCTTCCTTCCTTCCTTCCTTCCTTCCTTCCTTCCTTCCTTCCTTCCTTCTTTCTTTCTTTCTTTCTTTCTTTCTTTCTTTCCCAAAATTATTGGCTTATTCCAGATGTCTAAAAATACCTTGGCTAGAAAGTCATAATAGTGCTTCAAGTGAAATGGCATTTTTTAATTTAAAAGCTAAAAAATGGCTACTAGAGTGATAACTACAATTGCAGGAAAATATGAGGAGGAGGATGCTATTGCACTCGTCTCCAGAGGCAGCTAGTTGGTCACCACGTGAACAGAATGCTGGCTTGGATGGATCTTGGGCCCGATCCAGCATGGCTCTTCTTATATCCTTACTCTATGAAGTATGCAGTGTGCTAGGTTTTACCTGAGAAATGTTGTTTCATGTTTTCTTGACTTTTATTGTACAATGACCTTATTTGTTCATTGCCCAAACATGCAGTTTAACAGAGACAGGGCCAAATGTGCAACCATTTACAAGAAGCAGTACTTTGCTTGTGGGCTAATATATTAGGATGTAGCTCCAGCATCCCTGGTGGATGGCCTTACAGCTTTGCTTAAATACCTCCAGTAACAGCAAGCCCACACCTCCTGGGGTGGCTGGTGAGCAGACCGTACTTTCAGGAAGTTTCTCTTAATTCTAGTTGAGAGCCAATGTGGCGTAGTAGTTAAGACCACAGGACTGGAACTCAGGATAGCTGGATTCTAGTCCTTAGTCGCCCTTGGAGCAGTCCAGCCCACCTCACAGTGTTGTTGTGAGGGTAAGCTTGAGAGGAGGGGGATTGTGCGAGCTGCCTTGAGTTCCTTGAAAGGAAAAAAGGTGGGATGCAAATGTGACAGATAGATAGATGATACATTTATCCCTTGGACAAGATATACAAGCAACTGGAACAGAGAATTGAGCAAGTAGTAAATTCCCCCTAAATAGGAAGTGATCCATTAAGTTGTAGTGAAGTCACAAAGATTATATAAACTGAATTGCATTCATATACAGAATGTGTATTTAGGGCCAAAAGTAGAGCTAAACCAATTTCCCCCCCTCAAAAATATCTTGTGTGAATGTTCATGGTGAACATTCTCTGTATGTAAAAATACTCTCCTAATACTTTATGAGTATTCCATGCTCATTATCATCATTTGGCACCCAAAGAACTGGCACTTTATTAGGAATTGCCAATTTATTTTATCTATTAGCAGTCAATATCTAAGCATAAAACTGTCATAGCAGGTAGGGTTTTTGATTTTACAATATTTAATAGCTAACATGATATAGCAGTCAGTATCTTACCTTGTCTGATAACTGTCACACAACTGCACTCAGCATCCAACAGTGGCAATCATTTTTTTAAAAAATAGCATATTTCATATCACCTTTCATCATATCAGATTACTTGGTAGTGGACAGTGGAAGATACAAATAAGGAAATCCTGACAATATCTGGCATGCAGTAAAAATCAGTATTTGATTCTACCAAATAAAAAGCAGAACAGAACTTAGCAATCATATTAACTGTACTAGTTCATTCATTCAATCCGAACAGATTTCCAGTTAACATAAGAACAGAAGAACCTTGCTGGATCAGATTAAAGGTCCATCTAGTCCAGCATCCTGATTCCCATTATTATTATTATTATTATTATTATTATTATTATTACTACTACTACTACTACTACTACTGCTACCACTATTTATATCTAGCCTTCCTCCCTCTAAGGAACCCAAGGATAGCTTACTTGATCCCCCGGTATTTATTCTCACAACAGCCTTGTGAACTGGGTGAGGCTGAGAGCTTTGACTGGGCCAGGTCACTCAATGGGCTTCATGGCCAAGAGGGGACTAGAACCCGGACCTCCCTGTTCAGCTCATGCTGACACAAGGACAACTGTCAGCCTCTTCTGTTCGTGATCCCCTTAAGTGTCATCCTACTGCCTCTGAACCTGGAGGACCCTGGTTCTGGAAACTGAAATTTCACCATTCAGATCCAAAGTACCCAGAATTTTGAAAAGCCTTATTGTAAGTGATACAGGCTAGGATCCAATGTCATCCTTCCATCAGAAGAAGGAAAATTGCTTGTGGAGAAGCACTATTCTGTCCTTTCCTCTCTGTAGCCCCCTTTATACCACTCCAACCCTCCAGATCAGATTTGGGGGTGAATGAGGACTTCATGGCAGTGTCATCAGAAATGCATTTTCCTATCAGTAAAATTTAGGTATTTAGTAAACCTCTTGGAGGCCACAGCCCAGTGCTTGAGTGCATGCTTTATATGCAGAAGTCCTGGTTTTGATTCCCAGAATCTCCAAGAAGCATAGGGAAAACCCTGAAACCCTGGAGAGCTGCACTCCCTGCTGGACTTGGTGGAACTATGCTCCGACTTGGTATAAGCCAGATTCTTGTTCCCCTAAGTCTACAGGCTGGTTACACATTTGGGTCTTGACTGTAAAAAGCCTGGTTATTCTGGTTGATATTGCTGTCTACTGATTTAGCCATGCTACAGAAGTGTGACATTCAGTTACATTATATTCTAACTTTCTTCCGTGATAGCAGTCAAGGAGGGAAACAGAGCTTCCTATTGGTGTTACTAACCAAACTGAGATCCACTTAACTTTAGAAAGGGGGAATCACAGATTCATAAGCTTAGAAGAAGCCTAGAAGGCCATCAGGTCCAACCCCCCTGTCCAAAGGAGGACTCGAGTCACCCATCCAAATTCTATCCAGGTCTGACCCTGCTTTGCTTCCAAGATTAGGCAGAATCAGGCACTTCAGGCTATATGGAAGCTTGTGGGCTCTAGCTTGTGGGAGAAGAATTCTTCACATTTTCCTATGAATGAAAAGTTATGTTTTTCTTTTTAACAGATGTACCCAATGGATTCCATATTAACTTAAAGAAAACACCTATTGAAGGAGGAACCCTGGTGTTGTCCTGTTTAGCCAATAAGCTTCTATACAAAGACATCACCTGGTTGTTGCCAAGGACAGTTAGCAACAACCAGACAAGAATTAAAAAGGCATCTGCTAAGGAGTATTCCACTGAGCTCAGCCTCACCATCAAGAACGTCACACTTGAACATTCAGGAACCTACACCTGCCGAGCACGGAACATACACACTGGGGAAGAACAGCTCCAAAAGAAAGACGTTACAGTCAGAGGTGAGCACTGTAACAAAAAGGATGTTTTCTCACGGATCCGCAAATTTAAGAGCGCAAGGAATGACTGTACAACACAACACAATGTAAACCATTAAAGGACTCAGTAAAAAGAAAGTTCTCTCATATAATGCTGATTGATTACTACTCTACACTTCCAAATATGAGAGGTTTGGACATAAGAGGAGTAGCAATGCAAAAAATGAAACCAAACCAAATCAAAAACAAACAGTAGCAAAACCAAACATAAAAAAGAAAGAAAGAAAAAAATAAAAGCAAACATCAAACCCCTAAACCTGGACTTCCAATTTGGCTCAGAAAGATCTATCCTGCTTTGAGCAAGAGTTGGGATTTGGAAGACTTCCCCACCCCCTGCATGGCATTTTGTGTGTTATGTTGTATTGTTCTTTGCAGTCTCTCACCAAGTGCTAATGAAAAACTTTGGACCCAACTTCTCTTCGGCTTTGATATTCGACCTCCTCCCAAGTGTCAAAGCTGCATAAACTGAAAACACTTTTTAATAGAAAAACTGCTGGCTTTGGCCAACATTGGACATTTTAGAAGTTAACTTTAAAATGCAGAGAAAACACAGCTCAGTTTGAGAGACTGATTGGACTATGGTATTTTTTACTTTAATCTGCTCTTTGTGGATTTATAAATATTGCCTGCTGAGCAAGTTCTTATGCTTATTTATTTGAAATCATTTTTCTACACTAAATATATTAATCTTTTTTTAATCCAACTCTTCTCAGGGAAGGCTCTGAGGATGCAGAATAAGAAATAAAAATGTTGAAGTAAGGCACAGCCCTCTTAGATTGTTTGTATGAATTAGAATATTTAAACCCAGAGTTTAAATAAACCCTCTGTCTTTGAATACATAAATTAAGGGAGCTTTCAAAATGGCCCTTCCTTTGGTTCCCTTTCAAATAAATTACAGTGCTATTGTTAAAAGTGTGTTGACATCAATGGGAAAAGTCTTCCCTGATATTATGGTGGAGAAATTTGTAGTTGTTGTTACTATCTTAATAAAGAAGAATCACCCACATCCACCCCTATTGATGGCATTTCAGTTATCACAGGAAAAATGTATAATGCATTTACATTTAAATAGGATTTAACATGGGGATTAGCAATGACTAAACTACTGATGAATTAGGAGTAATTTATCATTCCTTTCAGCAAGGCCATTTTCTTTTGTGATTTATTTCAAGGTGTTTCTGTGTTATTATAAAATCTGTATAAGAAAGAAGTTACTATTTTTAATAGATCTGATAACTTTATTTTTTTACAATGCGTATCTTTTATTCTATTTTAGAGGGGGTGTTTCATTTATGATTGATTATTATATAGAATTTTTAGCCAAGCCTGTGGGGGAGCACAATAGCGACAGCCAAAATAGGGAACAAAAGTGGTGTCGCTGTTAAAACAGAGGGTTGACAACATGACAATTTCTTGTGCCTGAGAACTCACCCACCCATTTCCTCCTTGAAGGTAGCAGGACTGTGTCCCCCAGCCAAGCTTGTCGTTCACGTGGGAATTGCTTTTGTCAAGTGTGAAAGGGTAAACAATAGCATTTCCCCCAGCATGCCAGTTTTGTGGAGCCTAAAATGCTTCAGAAACAATTAGCTACCTGGAAGCTGTCAGGGTAAAGAAAAGAATGAGTGCTCCCATCTCAAAATTTCACCTATAGCCCCCTTGCATACAGTAGATCTTTTTTCAGTGCTGCCCATGACGGCTTCCAGAAACAATTTATGTGCTTGCAAAGGAACTCTCTGTGGCTGTTTTTAATATGGGTACAACAAAGCCAATCCAACTGTTGGCAACTGCATCCCAGTGTTAGGAATGTGTGCATTACTGTATTTTCTTGGAGGAAAACAGGAAATGTTCCATTTCTCTATAGAGTATATATGTGAAAAAATATGGCAACCTGTGGGCTGCAAGGACAGGACTTTAGGAGCTTGCCATAGCCTGAAAATTATAATTCTGATGTTTGCAGGAAAAAAGGAAGTTGTTGAAATCTACTGAGCATCATTTCTGGGCCAGCACCCCACAAATGTACTGCAATAGGATCCTGATTTACAAACTGATTCAGGGGTTATTAGAAGTTAGAACACAGTGCTCACTGATGGAATTAATGCTTAGGGCCAGCTGGAAGAAAGGAAGGTAATCTGGATTTTCCATAACCCAGAGTTGCCTAAAGCGTCAATAACTGTGGATTGCAATGGTATAAATCACCTTTTCCCAAACTGGTGCCTTCCATGTGTTTTGCAGTATAATTCCCATTATCCTCAATAAGCCCAACGCAGGTGGAGAGCACCAGGTAGGGGAAGGCTAGTATAAAATATTGCCCCAGCATTGTTGTCCGTGTTGGAAGTGTAAAAGTATCTCAATCATATTATGTAAAGCAAAGGACTTTATAGGACTGTCTCTACATTGTGACTGATGTATAGACCCCTGCCAATACTGATTTCTGCACATGCACTGGAATGGAATGAGTTTTGTTTTTTTCTGGATGATTTATTGTTCCCATATATGATGTGGAGAATAATAATTGTAAATTAAGTTTGTTTCCTTTTTTAACCACATGTTAAAAATTCAGATGCATATTTTACTGAGTAATGATTGGTAACTGAATATAAGTTGCCTCTTTAAGGAGAGAAACATGTTAAATGGAAAGAATTGCAAAAAAAAGGGAGTCTGGAAATGTTTCACTTGTTTTGTTGGTCATATTTATGAAGGTGCGGGGCGGGGGGTTCTGTCTCAGGGTTAATTTACTTCTCTGTCTTGCTACTGAAAGCCTGTACCCTATCTCTAGTTCCCTCTCTGACCATCTGTGATCAGAAATTATACAAACCACGAACTTCTCCTGTACATGAGAGTTATCCCAAAGAAACTCATTGTTGATTGTACACTGAATTGGCCAAATGGTTGCAGCGTAAATCAGAGAAAGACTTCTACTTAAGTCAGATCAAACAGGTTTAGCCAAACCAAAGTGCTTGGGAAACTCCTTGCCTGTTAAATTCTTAAAACACAATAGGAACTAATAACCAAGCATTGCAAAATCAGCAAGTTGTGGCAATAGCCTTATTAAAAGTATGTGAAGAGTGATGCAACCTGATTTTAAGTAACAAAATGTTTCTCAATATGGAAAATGTGTATGGCTATAAAACAATTAAAATTAATCAGAAATAACATGCAGATTGTGTGACCTCTGTTTTTTCATGTTTTTACTGTTGTCTCAAGTAACTTGGTTGTGCTCTTCTCTATAATAATCCTGTTGAACATAAAACTTACACATGTGGTCAAGTCCACTAGTTTCAGTAGGTAGACATATTTTCAAATGCCATGACTTGACAGATAAAAGATTTGAAAGAAGCAGAAATCAGAATAAGTGAGCACCAAAGTATGAACTTCCAATGAAATGTTGACCTGAAGGAGAAAACATATAGGATTCTCCTGATAATTTTTGAAGGCATACTCTTTAACCACACTTTATAGTGATATTGTTGTTGCTGTTCTGTGTCATCCAGTCATCTCTGACTTACAGCAACCCTATAAATGAATGCCCTCCCCCTGCCCAAATGTCCTGTCCATGAGATCCCAGCTGAGCTGTTCTAAATTCAAACAGTGTGGCTTCCTTTATGGAGTTTTCCATCTCTTATTTGGTTTTCCTTTTCTTCTTCTGTCTTTGACTTTCCCTAGCATAATTGTCTTCTCCAGGGAGCCTTGCCTTCTCATGTGTCCAAAGTAGAACAGTCTCAGTTTTGTAATTTTTGCTTCCAGGGCAAGTTCTGGCTTGGGTTTGATCTAGAACCAAGTTGTTTGTCTTTCTGTTGGTCCAGAGCATTTGCAGAGCTCTCCTCCAGCACCATGTTTTTGAAACACATCCATTTTCTTCCTGCCAGCTTTCTTCACTGTCCAGCTTTCAGACCCATACATAGTGATCAGGAATACAATGGTGTGGATGATCTTGGTCTTGGTCTCCAGTGAAACATCCTTACACTTGATTATCTTTTCTAGTTCCTCCATAGTGGTTACTGTTTGGAAAAACAAGAACACTCCATGCTAGATATACTGCACCATACGGTTTATAACCTAGTTGGACACATTATGGGTGACACCAGATCTGACAAGAGAATAATTGTTTTTATTATTTCGGGTCAGTTATAAAGCATTTTGAGAGGAGACATAACTCTATGACAGAGTACATACTTTGCATACAAAAGATCTTCATTTCAGCCCCAGGAGGGCTAGGAAAGAAACCTTCCTGAAATCCTGGATGGCTGCTGAAAGTGCTAGACTAGATGGACCATGCTATATGGGAACTTCCTACGCTACCAAGTTTTTATATATGTTCATGTTCTTTTCTTTTTAACAAGCCATATATAAGATGACACAAGGAAGCTTAGAAAAATGGTTATTGTCTCAAATGACTGGTTTGCCATAATTAGTGACAAAAACATCCAGCAGATCTTCTCATAGGAGTCTGGCCTTCCTTCAAAAAGAGGAAATAGCCATTGTAACTGTAAGCCAAGTGCTGACTTTGATGCTGTCACAGTGAAGTGAATTATTGCCAAAATGAAAATAACCTGCTGAACATTTTATTCCATCAAGAAGTATTCTTTATTGTGACAGGGAACACTCCTTTCTTGAAGGAGCACCTGAAGACTGAACTAAATACACCTGAATTGGAAGTTCAGAGGAATCTACAGTCCTTTAAGGAGTTTTTCAGGAATCCACTGCCTTATGTGCAACAACTTATGTTCCCCAGATTCATTGTCAAATGAATAAGACTAGGGCATTTGAGTGAAAATGGGTTGAGTCACAGTCATGGTCAAAACTGCTTAAGGAGCTATGAAACCAGGAATGATCTGAGGAATTGGGGATAAGGTAAAGAGGGGATGTGAAACAGTCAACCATTTGGCATGGCAGCTGCTCTAAAGCACCCCACACAGAGGCCAATTATTGGGGGTGTCTCTTTATTCGAAGAACCAAACCTTACTGTGCCTCATCAGACCAGTAGAGATAAAATTGCAATCAATTGGATTGTTTGCTTGGTTTATGATATACAGAATTAAAACATTCAAACAGTTTGCCCTAACATGCTCAATAGCATTTTATTAAACACATTTGGTCCAGATGTATGACTTTAAGGGAGGAAAAATGGTAAAGTAATCTGAGAAATGTATATGCTACAGAATTCCCCAAATGCATCAAACAACTTCTCCAGTCCAGTGAAAACTCCAGATCGCCTGTTGCAGTGTCATGGTGTTTGCTTTCTCTTTGAAGTTCAACTAAACAAAAGCCCAAAGGCTTGATTATGTACTCTAGTTTTGAAATGATGGTTACTTTTATATTACACAGCTCAAGTGATCTAAACATGGGTTGCACAGTAAGCAGTAATAATCCAGATTGCAGCCATGATACAAACAGGTAGTGCTCTGCTGTGTCTTTAGTACAGCAGCCCCTTAAGTTGAATGAAAAGAGCAAATTTTTCCATTAATTGCAGCACATTTTCCCTCTGGTAATAGAATCCTGAATTCTTTGTTGAGACTTTGGGTTGAACTGGGATTCAATCATACTCAGAGAAGACTCATTTAAAGAAATGGAGTTTGTTAGGCATGCAAAATCCCATTTACTCCTACTAAATCTGGATCCAACCCATTGCCCCATAATATAAACGCTCGCTCGCTTGCTTGCTTGCTTGCTTGCTTGCTTGCTTGCTTGCTCGCTCGCTCGCTCGCTCGCTTGCTTGCTTGCTTCTTAGATAATTTCTCCTGTTCTCTCTATTATTAGCAATAATTGATTATAGAAGATAGTGTCTGAAGAAGGCTCATCTGTTTAGATAATTATTTTCTATATATCAAGTGAAATAATATGGACAGCAACAAGACATTGTTTTACTTGTTTTGTATCTCTCATTCTCTTGGACCAACATGGCAACCTTTCCTTCTGTTGGATAACTGAGAAACTGCAGCATTTATAAGACAAATTGAGAAAGACTCACACAAGCAATTGAAAAAATATCATGGCTATGGATATGTACTAACTGATCTGTCAATGTGTTTTATAGCTCAGGAAGCACCATACCTGCTTTGGAACCTTACGGATCAGGTTGTCAACACAACTCACTCTGTTAGTCTGGAGTGTCATGCTCACGGTGCACCAGAACCGCAGATATCCTGGTATAAAAACAACAAGCAAATACAGCAAGAACCAGGTAAGTGCAAAATTCATCATCATTGACTTCTCAGTATGCTGTAATGTGGTCCCATCATTACAATTAGTAGATCTTTATTTTAACAACACTTAGAAGAGATCACAACTGGTCAGATGGAAGCTTCACCCATTCCTTTCCTGCTACTGTGAGTTCTTTTTAGCCACAGAGTTCACTAATCAATCATGTTAGTGATTGGAATGGCACAGTGGTCCCTACACTTTTGAGAGCGTGTGGTACCGGCCATGGTGGTAGCTGGGGCTTGCTTATTCATAATGCGGCTGCCATGCTGGGAATGGCTGGTCACATGACACACATTTCTCAGAAGACAAATTAGTGAGGCTAAAAAGAAAGGTAACATGCCCAGGGCACTAAGTACAAGGCAGAAGTGGGGGCTGAGTTCCAAAACACAGAACTGGTCTTTTGAGGCCAGATAAAGATGGCACAAGAAGGCAGCACTTCATTTTGCAGTATACCAGCCTCCTACCTTTAAACAATATCTTTAAAACATTGGGCATTTCCTTTTGCAGCACACCAGTTCCCCTATTCAAAAATGATTCAAATACATTTATAAATTTGAATGTTAAAATGTATGAATTTAAGAAATAAACATTGAGATATAAAATAAATATCAGGAGGTAAAAGGAAACTTGTGGGCACCAAGAGAGGTTTCTTCAAACATGGTGGTACTTCCAGGGAAAGTTTTTGTGGCACCATCACTCTGCCTCATTCACGGGATTTTACAAGGAGTTCCAGATATGACCTTCCATTTGTAACCGTCCCATGTTTTCCCGCTGTTTTTCCAACTTTTCTTGTACAACAGATAATCTGATAAAGAAAAGACAGAATGGTGTGCAACACCTTCTCACTAGAAGTGCTAGGAACTCTCTGTCTGGAAACTTATCCAAGTTAAAAAGCATAACCCAAGTTACAAGTACGATCAAAGTGACCATTTGATGCCCTTTAACTGCATCAACATTTGCATTATTTTAATTCATTTTGTTTCACTTGGTCCAGGGATAGAACCACCTTGAATTCAACTCAATGTCAATAGCACCAAACTAGCTATTGTTGCTCTGAATCCCAATGATTTACCAAAAAAAAAAAAAAAAAAAGGATGTGATTTATTTTTATTTAGTTGATTTTTACCCCACCCTTCAAAGACCATTTTCCAGGGTGGCTTGCAGAGAACAAATGTTGAGGTACTTCCTGCTGCACTTCCTGTACTGGCTTCCTTCCAATCGCAGGAGGAACTGCCTTGGGAAGTGCCCTAAGTGTACTTCAAGACTGTTTAGATCTCACATGTTCTTGGCAGCCCCCTGTCCAAAGAACCACCCAGTAAAGGAAACCCAGCAACCTTTAGTTGTGAGCTCAAGCAATAGTTAGTGCGGTTGCCACAGTGCCCCTCTCAGTTTTGCATGGCAAATTATCTTAGAAGAAGAGGTTTCCATGTGTTTTAGAAAGAGTAGTGCTTCCTGCTCCCCCTGAAATACTGTGCCGAGAACTTGGGACCAATTGACTGAAAAAGAGAATGTGAGAATCGCAAGATGGAATGATACCCCTGACTTTGAGATATAAAAGAAGAGCATTGCAGAAGTCAATAGCAAAAGACACCACAACATTAAAAGTTTAGCTATTAAGGAAATGTGGCTTAATGATAAGAAGTTGATCTTCAACTGAATAATTCTATTTTCTTCCCAACCAAAGTTGACTCCATCTTCAGGGAGGTACATGCTGCTTGTGGAACAATTGGCAGGAATGTCTGATGCTACTCAGTCGGTCTGTTCTTTTGTCCTGATTCCATTGGAGTAATGACATTAAGTCCACTTCCAACCAACTTCACCTGACCCACAGTTTTCCAGACATGTTTCCAGAACCAGACATGTTCCAATTCTCACTGGCCTCTTGACTTATCTCTGGGTCACTTGGCTTTAGCATTTCAACTAAGAATGAATGAATGAATGAATTATTTATTTATTAAAACATTTCTATGCCGCCCCTTGCCGAAGCCTCGGGGCGGCTCACAACACAAAATAAAATACAATAAAATACAAAAATAACAATATAAAATTAACAATATAAAATAAATAACAATATAAAAGAAGTCGCCCTGGCCAGATAAATAAGCAAATATTGTTAACAATTAAAATGACGCTTAAATATAAAGGTCTTCGCCTGGCGCTGAAAAACAAATAACGACGGCGCCAGGCGGACCTCTCTGGGGAGCGCATTCCATAGATTGGGCGCCACCGCAGAGAAAGCCCTCCTCCGAGTACCTACCCTCCTAATCTCTTTCACGGAGGGTTCCCGGAGAAGGGCCTCTCCCGCAGATCTCAAGGGGCAGCTGGGCAAATATGGATGTAAGCGCTCCTTCAGGTAACCAGGACCCAAGCCGTTTAGGGCTTTATAGGTCATCACCAACACCTTGAATTGGGCCCGGACTTCAATGGGAAGTCAGTGAAGCTGACGGAGGACTGGAGTCATGTGAACATAACGCCCCGTCCCCGTCAGCAGCCTGGCAGCTCTATTTTGAACCAATTGAAGTATCCAGACCGTCTTCAAGGGCAGCCCCACGTAGAGCACGTTACAGAAGTCAAGTCGGGAAGTCACCAGCGCGTGTGTCACCATCGCCAGGCAGTCGTACTCCAGGTAGGGGCACAGCTGAAGGAAAGTGCTCCTCGCCACTGCTGTCACCTGAGCTTCCAATGAAAGCTCCGGGTCGAGGAGCACTCCCAAGCTGCGGACCTTGTCCCTAAGAGGGAGTGCAACCCCATTCAGGACTAGGTCAAATCCACCCTCTCCGAAGCCCGATCCGCCAACCAACAGGACCTCCGTCTTGTCTGGATTGAGCTTCAGTTTATTGGCCCTCATCCAGCCCATTACCTTGGCCAGGCACCGGTTCAGCACAGCCACTGCCTCACCTGGATTGGTGAAAAACGAGAGGTAGAGCTGGGTATCATCAGCGTACTGATGATTCTGCAGCCCACACCTCCTGATGACCTCTCCCAGTGGTTTCATGTAGATGTTAAACAGCAAAGGGGACAAAATGGACCCCTGCGGTACTCCATGGCATAGCTGCCATGGTGCAGAGCCATAGTCCCCCAGCACCACCTTCTGGAATCGGCCATTGAGATAGGAGCGGAACCACTGCAAAGCAGTGCCTCCGACCCCCAATCCCGCAAGCCTATCCAGAAGGATACCATGGTCGATGGTATCGAAAGCCGCCGAGAGGTCCAGGAGAACCAACAGGGACGCACTCCCCCTGTCCTTCTCCCTGCACAGGTCATCGTACAGGGCGACCAAGGCAGATTCAGTACCATACCCGGGTCTGAAGCCGGACTGAAATGGGTCTAGATAATCAGTTTCATCCAAGAGTGCTTGGAGTTGTCCCGCCACCACCCGCTCTAACACCTTGCCCAGAAACGGGATGTTGGCCACAGGTCTATAGTTAGTGGCCATCTCTGGATCCAGTGACGCTTTCTTCAGGACCGGTCAGACTACTGCCTCCTTTAAAGGGGCAGGCACCTGACCCTCCCTCAGAGAAGCGTTAACCACTTCCAAGATCCAGATCCCATTCCCGTGCTTAGAATTATTTATTAACCAAGACGGGCAAGGGTCCAATAGGCAAGTGGTGGGACGTACTCGTCCAAGCACCTTGTCCACATCATCAGGCCGCAATAACTGAAATTCATCCAATAATTCTGGACCAGACGGCAGCATTGGTGTCTCTCCAGAAACCTCTGATTCATTAGTGGTATCCAGCTCATGACGAATCTGAGCGATTTTCTCCCTGAAATGCCTGGCAAAGACATCACAGCAGGCCTTTGAGGGTGGAACCTGATCTTCCTTAGGACCCGGATGAACCAGGCCTTGCACCACTCGAAAAAACTCCACTGGACGGCATTGTGAGGAGGCAATGGAAGCGGGAAAAAACCTCTTTTTTGCCGCCCTCACCGCCACAGCATAGGCCCGATAGTGGGCTCTCAAGTGTGTTCGGTCAGATTCATCCCGTGATCTCCTCCACCTACGCTCTAGCCGTCTCCCAACCTGCTTCATCGCCCGCAATTCAGGTGTATACCAAGGGGAAGATCTGGCTCTGCCCGGTGGGAGAGGATGCTTAGGAGCGATCGTGTCCACAGCCCTGGTCATCTCCCCGTTCCACAGTTCGACCAGAGCCTTGACAGGAGCACCAGTCTTGTCAGCCAGAAGCTTCCCCAGGGCCTTCAGGAATCCATCCGGATCCATCCGGCTCCGGGGGCGGACCCACACAATCGGGTCCACACCCTTGCAGAGGGAGAGGTCGCTCTCAAGCACAAACCTCACCAGGAAGTGATCTGACCATGACAGGGGAGTCAAGCATGAATTCTTCACCCTCAGGTCACCCTCTTCCTGCCCCGTCGAGAAAACCAGGTCCAGAGTGTGTCCACGTTCATGGGTTGGGCCAGAGACATGTTGAGACAGCCCCATGGCTGTCATGGAGGCCATGAAGTCCTGAGCCGCCCTGGTCAGACCAGACTCGGCATGGAGATTGAAGTCCCCCAGGACCAACATCCTGGGGGTCCTCAACACCAGGTCCGAGACGGTCTCCATTAGCTCAGGCAGGGAGACTGTTGGGCAGAAGGGTGCACGGTACACCAACAGAATCCCCAATCTGTCTCGGTCGCCCAACACCAAGTAGAGGCACTCCAGCCCTGGTCTCGAAGGGACCGGAAGTCCCGTGAGAGAGATGGAGGCTCAGTAAAGCAAAGCGACCCCCCCTCCCCTCCGGGCGTGAACAGTGCTGAACCAGATACCCGGGCGGGCACAGTTGAGAGAGGGCAACATCCCCCCCCCTCTCCCGCCCAGGTCTCCATTATGCAAGCCAGGTCGGCCCCCTCATCCACAATCAAGTCATGGATGAGGGAAGATTTATTATTGACCGACCTGGCATTGAGCAGCAGCACCGTCAGGCCCGAGGGGCAGTTGACAAGACTACCTGGCACCCTCTGGCTGGGGGCAAAACCAGAAGGAGGGATAGGTGTCAACCATCTGTCCCTCCTTCTTCTATGCGGACACGTTAAGCCCCCACCGCTGTTACGTCCATTGCCCAAGACCACCCCAATGGTGGCGCCCCCGCGCTCCCCAGGAGACATAAACATCGACATGGCCAGGGACGACTCAATAAAAACAGATTAAAATAGAATAAAATTATAAAAGCAATTAAAAACTCCCCCTTCCCTAGTGTTCACAATGGCAGGGGGCCAATTTCAACAAAAGCCCCTGGCGCGGCGCGGCAGCGTGCAGCCGGTGGCGCACGAAGGTCCTTCCTGCAGCGCGGGGGAGGTGTGCCCCATCCCCGTAATTACAATCTTACGTCTTCTTCTGGTTCTGATTCAGAAACTGAGGCAAGAAGCTTGGCATGGTGTAGGAGAAGGGATCTAGTCCCAACAGCTTTTATTTAGGGGAGCATACATCCATGCAATCCCCACTAACATTTGAAGCGATACATTCCCAAGATTTCAAGGCAGAGAAGTAACAATCAGAGTGGAAAGGACCAATGTGGTGTTTCAGCATTTCTGTGATACGTAGCAACAGAAGCAGCAGTTGTATCATACCTGTCAAACTTGGGATGTTTTATCAGCAGCAGCGAAAACTGTGGTCATGCATCTGGCTCTGAGAGTGTCCTTGTGTGATAGAAAGAACCACCATGCTTTAGACCAGAAATTGATCACTGCTCTTCATAGGACATCCGCAATGTGCATTAGGTTTTATATGAATCGTTTTATGATAATATCAATCTGTAGCATGGGGTTGGTTTGCCACTGCTTTGCAAAACATCCGTATTCTCTGAAATGACAGCCGTGTCCCACTGCAATGATATTAATGACAGAAAAAAGGAGAGATCAGAAACATCTCGAGGAGTTTTCTCGTTTGTCTTATCCTCTGTGACTCCTAATGCCACATACTTTGCCAATCACCCATCCATTCTTAGTCATTTACCAACTCAAGCACTCCTTCAACCCGTGGAGTCAAACTTCTGGCCTGCAGGCCAAGTCCTCCTCATTCAAGTTCCAGTCTAGCCCTTTGGACTCCCCAGATGGCCATGTCCCCTTTCCCTGTACCCACTCTCTTTCCTGAAACCATTTGGTGGCTTCCTGGCTTTTGTACATTCCACCATTCCCTTTTAAAAGGCTGAAATGCCTCTTCTAAAGATTAGTTACTGACAGTTGGACATCTATTCATTAAGTCAAGCTAACATACATGGGTGTTTGTGGTATTTAGTCCTCCCCTTTTTCCTCTGGTGCCTCCCACTACTGGAGTGTGGCCCAGAGAGCATTTCTGAAATTGAATTCAGCCCTTGGCGTAAACATTTGCCAGAGTTTGAGGTGTCCTTCTCGCCTCCAACCAAGCAAACTCAGACAAAGGCTTACTAACGAAAAGCTGTATTATGTTAATGCAAGCCAGTCCGACTGGCTTAAAAGTACAAATAACGCTCACTGCCGCAGTGAGTAGCAAAAGAGCAAGCAAAGCAAGAATGCTAGCCGTCAAGGAAATGAAACTGAAAACCCTCCACCCCTCCATACTCAAGTTACTAACACACACCTTTAAGGCAGATATTCTTGCCTGAGGGCCAGTTGCTTGGCGCTCCTGACACTTCTGTGCTGGTTGGCCCTCCACCTATGCTGAACTCCAGGCTTGGTGACGGCTGAGCCATCCTCTCCCTCATCAAAGGCTTCTTGTGGTGTCGGTGGCTGAGTGGGCCCCAACTTCCATCCGGCTTCCTCTGGACCCACTGGTCTTGGCTCCGCAGCTGTAGAGGCCAACCCTTCCTTCTCATCTGAGTCAGAATAGGTCACCACATCTCTTGAAGGCTCTTTTGCAGAAGAAGCATGCCCAGACCCAGCCAAATATTTACCTGTGTAGACTTCCCTGTATTTTCCTGCCATTTGTAGATTTTCCCCACCATCCTAGCTGTGCTCACCTGAGGCAAAAGGAAACCAGCTGGGCAGGACCCCCAAAACTGCACTGCCACATTTCCAGGCAAACTTGTTGGTTTTACATTTCAGGTGGCAGTGATCTGAGACAATCAAATAGAGCATTTGGGAGAAGAAGGCCAATGAGGGAAGAGATGTAGCAAAAAGTCTATCTGGTTCCCGCTCCTGTGCCCTCATAGGCTGTCCCCCAAAGGCTGCATCTGATGGGTTGATAGAGCTGCTACTCAAAATGTAAGGGTAAAGCAGCATTTGCTTTGGAATGGGGTGGTGCAGGACAGGCCTTGTGAGCTCAGTAGCCATTTGCCAGTAGGGCCACCTGGGCTAAGAGGAGGAGAAGCAGCAGCAATTGCCACCATTAAAGGCGGCAGGGCAGGGGGGAGGATCCAGAAATGATTCAGGATCAGGGAACCTCTGCACCATGGGTGATGTGGTTGTGTCTAAGCCAGGGGGCCCTTTGGCTGCACTGCTGAGGGATCACAGGAAGCTGGTGACAGCCCTGTTCCCAGCACAGTTTTTCTTCAGGTCTCACCCAAGTGGGTAAGCATGCCACATCTAGTAGCCACCTGCCATCGAAAGGCATCCTGCAAGGAACTTCACATCATGAACATCCCCTGAAGCATCTTCTGTTGTTAACTCTACAGTATACCAGAAAACTGTTAATCTCCAGATCAGGAGACAATAATTATAATATTCTTCCCTTTGATGATACAGATGACACTGTTTTTGACTGTTTTAGGGTCAGATGCTCCTCAGAAGCAGCTTTTCTTCATCAAGCAAGCCTTCCTGTTTCTGCACTATTGCCCTTGATTTCAATATTTCCCATTCCACAGGTATAATATTAGGGCCAGGAGGCCAGAGTTTGCTGATCGAAAGAGTTCAGGAAGATGATGCTGGACACTACCAGTGTGTGGCTACTAACGTGAAAGGGACAGTGGAGAGTTCAGCCTACATCACAGTACAAGGTAAAGGTTTGCATGCAAAGGAGGCTGGTAAGCCTCCGTCTCTTTGAACTGCTCCTGAACCTTGGGTTGCTTTCTGCACAGGTCTTGCTCTTCTTGTAGGAACAGGTAAGTGGCTTGTTGACAGTGTGCAAGAGATATATAAACACAAGGCCCAGCAAAGGAAATGCACCAGGTCAAAAAAGGACACCAAAGGGAAATGCTAGATCAGAACGTGTTTATATACAGACCTGAAAATAATCTTTGCTGCAACCCCACAAGCATAGGGTCAGGGAAGAAGTAGGGTGTATATTTAGTCTCCTCAGAATCATGGCTTTGCTTTGTTTCCTGTTCCAGGCTGCTAGAGGCCAGGATGAGATAAATTTGTCATTTTTGTGTCTTTGATTTCAATACAGGATGAGCTGTCACAGTTGACCTGAGATTTGTCCAATATCTAAATACATTTGCTGTTATTTGCTGTTGTCTCCGGGTTTCTGATTCCTTTTAAAAGTCCTCCTTTAAAAAAAAAAGAAGAAGAATATCTCCCATCTTAAAATCTACTTGAATTCTATCCTGGTCACAATGAAATACATCTCTCTTCCTCTGTCTCTTAATCAAGGGATTTGACAAACAGTGGTTAAACAAACCAATTGCACTCTGATTTCCCCCTTTCCTGGTTCCTCCGAGCTTTTAATCTGCTTAAGTATTCACTTTAAATCAGGGATGGGACACATGTGGCTCTCCAGATGCTTTGGCGTATAACCTCCGCCTTCCTTCCCCATTGGCCATGAAGGCTGGGGCTGATGGGGGTTCTAGGCTAAGCCATCGGGAGGGCAGCAAGTGGCCAACCTCATAATGAGCTCATAAGAAGAGCCATGCTAGATCAGACCAAGGGTTCATCTAGTCCAGCATGCTATTCACACACTTGCCAGCCTGTTGCCAGTGGAAACTTTGTGAATAGCCCATGAGTGCAATAGTATTCGCTCATTATATTCCCCACCCACTGGTATACAGAGGCATAATGTCTTTGATACTGAAGGTTACCATGGTGTCTACAATAAACCGCATTGAAAGTCCCCAAAACATTCATGCATAACAGTAACCTATGGTTTATTTAACCCAAGATTTGTTTGTCTGGCAAATAACTGAACAAACTGGTTGGTTTTCTCAGTCCCTGGGTTGTATGTTTCCCTCTTCCATCTTCCACTCCTTTGCATTCCTGTGGTGTAGACATGTAGAGTGGCATTTGTTTGTTTGTTTTGCTTTCCCATTGCTTTTATAGCTTGGTGAAAGAACCCATGAACAATCCACAGTTTTGGGTTTGCATATAACAACAATTTTTATCCCACATTATATGGTAACTGATATCCTCCAATTCACAATCTGTATTGTGATTTACACATAAGTAGTCCAACAGACTTATGCTTCCAGGGCAGGGTCACAAAGTTTTAGACTCCTGCTTTTTACAGGTTTTTTTTTTTAATAAACCAGAACATGCCTGGGACCCAAAAGTACCCCAGAATCTTTGTAGGAATTGTTTTATGGGGTACTTTTATACCTCAAACAATAGGCCCAAAACAAAGAGAGAAGATTCAATACCAATTATATTGGCCTCTTTTTAAAGTGCAGGTTCTTAGCTAAAACCTCCAGCAAGCAGAATTAAATCCAATGTGCTTTATTGCAATGTATCAAGTTAATAGGTCAAACTATTGTTATGCAGAGAAAAAGTCAATAGGGGAAGCTTTTTTGTGCAAATTTTATTGTTTTGCATAGCCTCAGGAAGGGTTAATCCTTGAATTACCTGCACTTGCTGAGTTGAAAGGGATTCCTATGTTAATTGAAAACTCCTGCAAGGGGGGGGGGGGGGGTTTTTTTAGCCAGAACAAAGACTTCCCATATGCAGCATTTTTCTTGCCTGAGCCACTTTTGTCTGGGAACAAAAATGTTATCAAATGTGACTAATACAAGCGTTTGATTTTGTTTTGTTTTGTTTTGAGACAGAATGAGTGTGCACAACCCTTGGCTATTTCTGGTTTTAAAAAGCCATAGTTTGTCAGCAAAGCTATGTTCACACATCATGACAATCCAGAATTTAATAACCCGTGCCATGGGTTAATGTTATGTGCACACAAGGCCAAGATGGGGAATCCAGTCAGAGATCCACTTTCTTCAAAGCAGAATGAGGCACACAGTGCAGGCGATGCATTGTGGGAACATCAGCCCTCCCTGCCTCCCTCCCTTCCACAGCCCGTGTCTAGGTCTGCTGCACCGCACTGCTGCCTGCTTGTCCTTACTCTTCCGTCAGGTGGCAGCTTTTGCTCACTGCTCACTGCAGCTGCTTGCAGCCCCTGTAACCAAGCCAAGAGTCCACAAGCAGGAGGATTGTGGGGCACTCCAGGAGCAAGGGAGAGAACGTCCGCCATCCATCCCCTGCTTGCCAGTTTGTCTGCCACTGATGCACTGATCATCCACCCTTCCCTGTTTGAGTGGATGCAGCAGCTGCCCCTGCCCGGGCCATAGGCTGAAGGCACACAGCAGCTGCTTCCACCAGGAGAGAGGATTTGAGGAGGGAAGGGGAGCAGTAGCAGTGAGTGGAAGGACTTTGCATGTCCTCCCAACCTCTTCCAATGTCAGGGCAATTGGAGAGACGCACACGGGGCTAGTCCCCCAGTAGGCCTCCTTCTGGGAGTCTTCTGCCACTCATCCACTTCCCCTCAGCCTCTGTCTGGGCTCTGCTGAGGTCCTATTGACAATACTAACACCCCCAGCAGCAGCAGCATTCTTCTTGTTCCTCCCATGGAAAAAGTGAGTGATGCATCCTAGTTTTACTGGAGGAGTAGATGACCATGCTGCTTTATCACCTGCAAAAGCCAAGCCCAAAACTCAAAATACATAGTCCACTTCAGCTGGCGAGGTTTGGTGCAAACCAGTGAGCTGAATTCAGCTCTGCCTTCAGTCAGAAGTGACTCCCAGTGAATTCAGTGGGATCTGCTCTCTAAAATTGTGGTAATGGAGCAATTAATAAAGGCAAAGGTTTCCCCTTGACGTTAAAGTCCAGTCATGCCTGACTCTAGGGGGCAGTGCTCATCTCCGTTTCCTGGCCGAGGGAGCCAGCGTTTGTCCACAGACGGTCTCTGTGGTCATGTGGCCGGCATGACTAAACACCAAAGTGCATGGAATGCTGTTATCTTCCCAGCGAAGTGGTACCTTTTTCTCTTCTTGCATTTGCATACTTTCAAACTGCAAGGTTGGCAGGAGCTGGGACGGAGCAACAGGAACTCACCCCATTGTACAGATTCGATCCGGTGACCTTTCAATCTACCAGCCCAGCAGCACAGCAGTTTAAACCACTGCGCTACCTGCAATTAATACAGGTGTGCAAATTGCCCCTCCATTTACTTCACAGGTATAATTTATGCACATTTTACCACCCTTTAACTCCCAGATAATAAATTTGCATATAGTTCTGCAGGTTTTTTAAAGCTGGAAACTAGTAATTCTGGCAATGCATGTGCCAAAAAAGAGCTGCAAAAAGTCAAGGTTATTTTTCCCTCCCTGGAGAGCCAGAGAAGTGTTGAAATGCTGGAGGCACTGAGGAGTGTCCATTCAGCCCTCAAAAATGAGAGGATAACATCACCGAGGGGGAGAGATAGTCTGCCCCCCAGATGTTGGCACACTTTTGCTTTTGATTCCCCACTTCTGGCTTGTGCTACAGGGCTACTCCTTTCCCTTACTGTTACTCCTCTCTTGGTCCCTTGCAAGTGTAATTAGCCAACAGGAATTTCATCTTGTCAGTACACATATCGGATAGCTGTTTATTTGTTGTTGCTAGTTGCAGAGTTGTGTCCGACCCATCACAACTGCATGGACAACATTCCTCCAGGCCTTCCTGTCCTCCACCATCCCCCGGAGTCCACTTAGGCTCATGCTGACTGCTTCAGTGACTCCATCCAGCCACCTCATCCTCTGCTGTCCCCTTCTTCTTTTTCCGTCAATTGTTCCCAGCATTAGGGTCTTCTCCCAGCATTAGAGTAGCTGTTTATGCACACTTGCAAAAGACTGGCAAATAAATAATAGTAAAAATTATGACCAACTTGCACATTTTTGCCTCCCTCAAATAAAATAAAAAGAGAGAACAAGCAATGATCTTTCCAGCGTGCCGTTTGTGGAAGAGCAGCCACTGGCCAGATTGTGACCCGTGAGTGGCATGGGGATCATGTCCTGTGAATCCAGCCTCCCTCCCTCTCCCTGCCTGATGCAGATCTGGCACCTCATAGAGGTGCTTTGAATTATATTCTATCCTAGTGCAGTATTTGTAAGTAAAGCAACTATACCATAGTGCTCTGGTTCCCTCATCCAAAGCAAAGTTGGAAGGGGCTCTCATCCAAAGACAGCCACTGCCTTGAAGGGGGGTTACCCTTAAAAGGAGACCCCAAATCCCAAATCTGGATGTGTTGCCAACTCTCAAGGAAGCGTTGAGTGCATCACATGATACATGGCAGCTTTGCCCGGCGCTCTCCTGGTCTGTGGGATGGCAGTGCCTGTGATTCCCAGCTGGAATGGTTGAGCGAAGGTCACTAGGCTGGGGAGGACTGATATCTGGGAGCCAACTAGGTCATATAAATACATTCCACGTGAATAGTTTGCCGCTATGACTGCAAAGATGGAGCTTGTACTCCATGCTCAGGAGTCATCCCAATAGCTGAGATAACACCCGTCGATTGTCCCTATGTTTGACATATCTGACAAACAGTTTTGTGATTCAAGCAGGAAGGAAACTGTCTGCACTTTTTATTTCCTTAGAGAAAATGTTTAGTCTCTACTGGTAAAACTAGGTGCTATTTTTGTATCAAAAGGGATGAATGAAGAGGAGGATGTGGCTGGGCTCTTTTAGCCAGTGCTCCTTGTCTAAGAGTCACAGTTGGGCAGAGGCCTGGGAAGATGAGGAAATACAGTTCCATGTTTTAATTTATTTTGCAGAGTTGCTAGTCCCTTCCATATTGGGAATCATTAGCAAAGGGAAT